TTTAAATTCAGAAGCTCGTGATTAGGGCAAACCTCTGAGGTGTACAGTTTAACTAGAAGTCATGTCTAAACACGATAAAAAATTGTTTGTTATGATCAGATAATTTTAACAAAAGAAATTAACATTTTTCAAATTTCACTAATGAGGAATTGGAGCAAATCTTATCATCTTGTATACGTACAAGATGCTACTAAAAATATTAGCTTTTCTATATAGAGTGCAAGGTAACCACATAGACGAAATTAAATTTACTGATACTGAAATTAATAAAGAAAAATAATTCGAATCTAACAAATCATTATGATTAAATTTGGCTATACTTTGCTGTCGCCTGTAACCAAATACATACACTAAAAATCCTGTCTTTTATTTCAAGTAATTGTTAATAACTCCCAATTAACTAGATCATCGGTATAAATCACACTGATATCTACGATCTTGTATTGAATTATAAAAGACAATTATTAAAAGTGCAGCCAAGTTTTCTGACGCCTCAAGATCAAAATAATGTAGTAATTAGTTTGGAATTTTTTACAAACTTTCATACTTTACGAATATGAAACTATTCAAATAAATAAAATTGAAGTGTGTTCGTAACGTCAAAATAACAGATTTTTACTAAATATATATAATATAAAAAAAATTACAATTTTGTCTGTCTGTTATGTGGTTACTAGCGCGACTGTGGATCATTATTTTGGTCCTGGGTTTGAATCCCGGGTCATGCCAAGTACCGTTATTGGATTAATTTGGGTATAAAATTGGGTATTCTAGGAGCCACCCTGATAGTCGTATTACAGCCCTCTAAATCAAGCACTTAGATTTTTGCGTTTTCTCGTCGTACGTTTTCTTATAGAAAAGGGGGCAAACGAGCATGCGGGTCACGTGATGGTAAGTGACTACTGCCGCCCATGAACAACTGCAACACCAGGAGAATAGCAGGTGCATTGCCGGCCTTTTATAAAGGAGTAAGCTCTTTTCTTGAAGGTCCCTAAGTCGTATTGGTCCGGAAAAATCGCCGGTGCTAAACAATTCAACAGAGAAGTTCTACGAGGAAAAAAACTTTTTTTTTTCTTTAAAAATCTCCTAGTAAAACACACAGTGGTGGCCCGTCAAACATCCAGATGGTGAGGATAGTATCGTGAATTTTGACGCGACGTGGGTTCATGAAATATGGCGGCTGAGATTAAACCGAACCTCAGAGCACTCCCCGAGGTAGATGCGATAGAAAATGCAAAGGGATGCTACATCCCTACGCAGTGCCAGTCAATCGAGCCGATCAGAAAGTATTCAGACGTCGACGACTCGAACCGCTCTACGCTGGATGCAGTCAAGTGGAAGGAGCTGACACTGGCGTGCCCCGGCCCAGAGATGAGCGGCCGAATTTGCGCTCTGTAAAATTGCAAGCGATGTGCCGACATGAAATACTGCCCCGATCTGCTGAGCACGCCAAGCTTTTTAGAGGCCAATTTGGCCTTCCCTTCCAAGTGACTACAAAACTGCACACTATTGGATATGTCGACGCCGAGGATTCGGATGCTAGTTGAGGCTGCAAGGGGAGTGCCTTAAAACTGAGGAGATACGACAAAGGGGTTCTTTTTAGCGGTATACGTGCAAACTTGTGTCTTCTGGGGATGGAACTGGACTAGATTTAACCGCTCTCAATCCGAGACTTTGTTCAGCAAAGAATCGACATCAAACACAAGTTAGTTCCGGTACTCGGAGACGTTTTCCCGGGAAATATTGGCACGGCCGGCTGAGAAATATTGCATCACCAGTGCTGGCATTATACCAGTTTGCAACATATCATTGATATGCAGTAGAAACAGCGTTTGTGATAGCACGCAGCCTTATGGAACACCAGCGTTAATAGGCTTGTAATCAGTGCATGCACCGTCTACTACGACCTCGATGCTCCGATCAGTAAGGAAACTGGTGATCTAATTGCACAATTTCTCGGGAAGCCTATAGGAAGGAAGCTTCGATGAAGCGCTTTGTGCCAGACCCGATCGAAGGCCTTTTCTATGACCAAATTAACGGCCAATGCCTACCCCTTGCCTCTACTGCCTTCGCTCATCTATGAGTTAGATAGACCAGAAGATCACCAGCTGATCAACCCCGACGAAAAGTGTTTGTAATGGATTCCATTATTTTGGAGAACAAGGAGGTGATGGCAATAAGCCTGTAGTTTGACGAGTTTGAGCGGTCGCCTTTTTTAGGGATCGGGTGAACCAAAGCTGTCTCCCATGAATTTGGGATAACGCTTTAGGAGTAGAAGTACCGGAAAAGACGCGTTAAAACCGGTGCCAACTTCGGAGCACACGTCTTCAGCACAATGGAAGGGACTCCATCAGGCCCACGCGACTTGTTGACGACCAGGGAGAGGAGTGCTTTGTAAACCGAGCGCTGTGTAAGCCGCATATCTGGTATGGAGCACTTAAATCGCGGGATGGTCGACGGTGTGTTCCTCCGTCATCGAGAGTCGAGTTGGACGCAAAAAGAGAGATTAACAGATTGGCTTTCTCCTTTGCGGCATGGACTCAGTGAGTCACCCTCTCTTTGCAGAGATGGCTGACAGAAGTTCCCTTGGACAGCCTTAGCAAGAGACCAGAATGCACGGGTTACCGAAAGAAGGCGAACTAACCTCTCACCAACTACGCCGATGTGCTTTGACCTTGCCTTGGCAATGAACTTCTTTTGAAGAGTGCTGGTGTTTACATCCCGAGACATCAACGTCTCGGGATGTAAAGGTGTCGTCATCCCAGGCCTAGCAGCACTCCTGCTTATAGTGTGATGCTATTTCACACGAGCGACCAAACCATGGCTGGAATCTGCCTCCGATGGGCACCACAGAAGATGGAAACCTGATATCCGTCCAGATAAGAGGTCAGCAGAAGTTCCAACAGGGAAGGTGCATGATCTTCTACATCTGGAATCCGCGTAGGCAAAGTAAGTAGCTGTGTAACCATACGTCAAGGCAAAGTCATAAACAAACTTCCCCATATGATCGGTTAAATGTGAACCCCCCCCCTATCAGTATACGCGTTATATAGGATACGCGGGACCGCTTGAGCACACACGCTCAGGAACAGTAGGGTAGCTTGGACGTGGGTGCTCAGCAAAGGATTCTCCGTCACCAGGATGCTGGTACCCTCCTGGGGTAGTTTTTTATTTGATTCCGCTACTATACTTTAAGGGGGGGGAGGGGAATTGGGCCTCAGACCACCTACACTTACCTAGCGAAACGCAGAAATAAACTTATTCTACTTCACGCTGGTATTCTGTGAGGTCGTGGTACTACCCTGGTACAACAAAATTTAAAAAAATAATTTATTCTTATGTAAACAACCGATACACAAGAATAAATTATTTAATTATTTTCTTCGTTATAAGACAAGTCCAGTCTTAACAAATAAACCAAACACAACAACTGCCTTTCTTTCTTCAAAACTTCTCTAATACTTTCACGTTTTTCGTAAACGCCAAACTCCCACTACACACCCTGATCGCGACTGAAAAAACCTATCGCTTAAAGGTAGATAATAGATGATAAGTATGCCCACATGCGGCGATGCCGCATAAGTACCTCACAACGTGAATCTACCTGTCCTATTCATAACTGCCTTTACGCTTTACGGAATTAACCGGTTAATTTGGGTGTCAAAAGCATTAAGTAACCGGTAACCTTTATTGTTTAGGTTTAATAAAAACCGGTTAATTTTTTAACCGGTAATTGAAGGAGCGATAAATTTACCGGTAATTAATCGAAATTAACCGCTCTTTTTAAACCGGTTCCGAGCCCTGCAAAATACCACCGAAATCTAAATATTGTGTGTGATAGAAGATGCATACTGTGATCAAAACCACCTTATTTGTAAAATATATAATTTTAAAAGTTTTGTTATCTCAATAACTATGTGTTCTGCATTATAATCATTTAGAAAGGCTAACTAAAAAAACTATCTTAAGAGAGGGAGAGCTTCTAACTGGCACAAAATTTAATTATGAGTACCATTTCAATAGTAACTTATTGAAAACTCCTGTACACTCCTGGTACTGGTAACTTTTATCATCATAAAACTAAAAAAGTCATTATAGGATATTTTTTTATAAGGGTAACAAACAAGCACACAGTCCACCTGATGGTATGCGATTGCTGTAGCCCATAGAAATCTACTTCTATCCTCGACTAAGAATCAAAATGCAGATGCATTGCCACCTGTGAGGACTACAATGGAATTGCCTTGTTTTCAGTAAAAAGGGTCTCTTGTTCTGTACACTCACCATACTAAACACAGCAGCGTTAAGCTGCTATTTTACAGTAGTATTATGTGAGAGCATGGTCTTCGCCAGTCGAGCCGACCTATTCGTGCTTGAACTATACTACTAATATAGGTGCAGCATGACTCAACCAGGTATATATATATATAAGATATGCAGATATCCACCAAAACTACCTTTAGTAAGTGCTATCTCCACCTATAGGGCCTCGCTGCTATAGACAATCTTTGATTTACTGGAATAGCTTTCATCATGTTAGTAGGCATCCTGTTTTTGAATTAATGGTTGAACTTTATTCAATAATTTTTTATAAGAATCATTGTCCATCCTCAGAAAGTTCTTATAATCATCTGGTGCGCTAGTTTCTAGCACTCTTTGTAGATGTTTGTGTGTGAAACAATATCTTAATTTGTACCATTTTTTTCACCAAATTCTTTTTCTTTTTTGCTTATTATTTAAGGAAGACATTAATACAATAAACGCGAGAAAATCTTTATCCATAGTCGACAGCATTTTTTGAAACCGCAATAGGACTTTCTTGTTTGAACTTTGAAGCCACACTGCACGCTTCTGTTTGATGCGAATTCAAAGCGACATCAAACGATTTGGTCAAACACGTGAGGTTTGAATCAAACCGTTTGACCATCTTGGGGGGGGGATACTTTATTGAAATGGGTAATAAAGTAATAATACTCAGTGTACTTAACATTACAACTTACAAAAGTGCCACCAAAATCCTTAGCTGGTCTTATTCGATAAGAGTATCTTAGCTCGGGTGGATCAATAATTTCAAAAAACACATCTCCTGAAATAACATCGGCAGTCGATGCACCATCATTAAAATGTAAATCATTTGCTGAAAATACAAAAAATTGTGACAATACCAAAGAATTTAAATTGCACACTTTTCATAACTTATAAAAAGGCACTTCGCACCTTTGCAGATAATATTTTTTTAAAAACTAATTACCTCCTGATGAAATTCCATTCACAAATATAAGTAGAAAAAGAATAATAATGTACGGTAAATAAGAATAAACACGCAAAATTTTGTAGCGCATACTCGAACTTGTCGCCTCCTAAATGTCAGTTGTCACATAGCACAGAACACTAGTAAATAGTAATACCCTTAGGCGGGTCACATAGACTAATATATAAAGTTGTCATTGGATGATTGGAATGTAATGTAAGTGTAGAATAGAGTAGGCGTGTGTATCTCTTTCATAAACTATATAGAAACACTACGCGTTATCTCTTTACGGAAGCGACTCAGTGATCCGGATCACTGAAGTGATTCAAAAGATTAGTTCAGTAACAACGTATCAAATGTATCATTTGGATCTGAAACAGTGAAACATTACTTTGCTCTCTGCACATTTCGCGCGACGCGTCGCTTGCAAAGAGTATAATGAGTATATACAGGATGTCGCTTGCGAGGCGACTGAGCCATGAGCGAGAGAGACATACTGAGACAATGATTGACTTAACCATAGATAAATAAACATGTAGCAAGCTAAACTTAACTACTGACTCGCGAGTGGCGAGTGAGCGGGCGAAATAATTATAAAACATACAAGTCAGATAGAGATAACAAATGAGAAGTGTATCACTCAACTCGTACGGATTTTCGCTGTCGTTACTCATGCTCGTAAAAATTACCACTAAGGCTCTTGTATCAAATACTATACGATCGTTTTTTGTATGTAATGTTTGCATTAACAAGTTGTCATTTTACGTTCAAATTGTTTATGTTCATTAGCGCCAGTTTATGAAAACATACTGAGTTCTGTTTAGGATTTCTTTGCGTAGTGATTATTGTGACTTACTTTCTTCCTTTTCATCATAAAGTTAGAGTTATGAGACTTTACGAGAGAATTATGTGTACATAGACATTGTTGTTTTACATTTTTGATATTTTTGTAAATAATGAATTGACATAATGACATTTTTGTTAAAGTATGAAGAAGGATCGATTTTATATACAATCTTATTACGGTACACAATAAATAACCTAAGCACTTTTATTATTGCCACATAACATTTCACTGACTCAGTCAGTAATAAACGCCCGCGACGCAACTTAATGTATTCGGAACATTCTGTATGTTATATCTTTTGAGTCGATGATCCAAATGAAACATATCAGTGTTTCGGAACATTTCAGTGATCAAGATGCAAATGTTCCAATCGCAAAAATGATACACTATGTCTACCTCCAGTGTAGAGAGAAGGAGGACCATCTCTATATATGAAAAGTGTCCCTAAAAACGTGTCCAATAACGGTGGCGCTGCAGTAGCATAGGATAAATTTAAAAAAACCGCCAAAAGTAATTAGAATAAGATGGAGAAATAAACAAGGACCGACCAATCCGCTTGGTTTTGTACTACGGTACTACCATAGATAAAGGTGTATAGTAAATAGTTGAGATTTTGTATACTGACATTTTACTTAATACTCAAGTCATGATTTTTTTTTAAATATTTGAATTCAGCTGACTTCACTCCGTCTACAACAGCTATCTTCATATAATAGTTTTTCAGACGCCAGCGCTATTGTGGTAGGTTTTGGAACCTCTATTTTCAGTAAATAGCAGGACACTTTTTCAACTTTTGTCCCTTATGAGATGTTTCTCCTTGTTACTCTACACTCCATACTTAGAAGCTATGCTTAGAAGTATATGGACCGGGCATACTAACCTGTACAATAATATTGTACAGTAAACAAAGGTATGGGGATGGGATGGAGATCCTTGATCCCATATTATAATCCCATATTATAGTATTTTTAATATAAAATAATAATGATTAGTTGAGTAAAAATTAAATACTTAAACTGTTTTAAAAATCAATATTTATTTATTATTAATTGGTTAACAGGAACGATCTGCACATAATTGATCACAAATGGTAAGTTATACAAGCATATTTGTGTCCTGCTGGATATCATATTAAATTTTTATATTCAGATTAGGAAAGGATACGGTATCAACATCAATGGCGAATACATCACTCACCTTCGATTTGCCGACGATATAGTCCTTATGGCAGAATCGCTGGAGGACCTAAGCACTATGCTCAATGGCCTCAATAGTGTTTCCCAACGGATAGGTCTTAAGATGAACATGGACAAAACAAAGATCATGTTTAATGTCCATGTCACACCTATGCCGGTAGTTGTTGGGTACACTAAGCTCGAAGTTGTTGACGAGTATGTTTACCTGGGACAAATAGTCCGATTAGGTAAGTCCAACTTCGACCGAGAGGTCAATCGACGGATTCAACTCGGTTGGGCAGCGTTCGGGAAATTACGGCACATCTTCTCGTCAGGTATACCTCAAAACTTGAAAACGAGACTGTACACCCAGTGCGTGTTGCCAGTGATGACATACGGAACTGAGATGTGGTCCTTCACTGCTGGCCGGATGAGGAAGCTCAAGGTAGCTCAGCGAGCTATGGAGAGGGCTATGCTCGGAGTTTCTCTGCGTGATAAACTCAGAAATGAGGATATCCGCAGTAGAACTAGAGTGACCGACATAGCCCAACGGATTAGTAAGCTGAAGTGGCAATGGGCCGGCCATATAGCTCGAAGAACCGACAACCGATGGGGAAGAAAGGTTCTCGAGTGGCAGCCTCGTACCGGCAGGCGAAGTGTAGGGCGTCCCCCCACTAGATGGAGTGACGACCTGGTAAGATATGCAGGAAGTCGATGGATGCAGGTGGCTCAGGACCGTGCTTTGTGGCATTCTATGGGGGAGGCCTATGTTCAGCAGTGGACTTGTGAAGAAGGGCTGTATTGATTGATTGATTGATTGATTCAGATTTTAAATGAAAAATATTATTATTTTTCGCAGGTACATCAATTTTGTTCATTTAAAATTTAAAAATCTGGCATGATCATGAAACGGTGGATGAAATATGATATCCAGGATTTATAAACTATTATTATTATTATATATTAATTTCTGTGCAAAATTAATTTATTAAAATAATTTCTATACGACATCATAGATAAGAGTGTACGACACTATTTCACTGCTTTTTGACAGTTTGACAGCAGATCTACCACAAAACTTGGCGCTTAACATGGTGACGTAGTCACGCATGGATGAGCTAATGACGTCACACGAAAGTATTACCAAAATAAGCACTTTACAAACGGTAGTTTTCTCTCTTTTCTATTGCAGCAACTGCTTTGTTAAAAAGAAACAAAACTGTTTATGACATGATACGAGTTGCTGCTTCCGTATCTGACCAGCAACAAAATATCTACTATCTTTTTTCCTATAATTTTCATGTAAATATAGCTTGTACACAATTAATTGTTAATTTATCACTTGGTGCAGCTTATCGATCGATTTTATTTTATTGCTGGCTCTTTATGACTTGCTGCTTCTATAACTGACCAGCAACAAAATATCTGCTACCTTTTCTCCTAAAATTTTCATAAAAATATAACTTGTAAACAAACAATTACTAACTTAATACTTGGTCCAGCTTATTGATAGATTTTACTTTGTTGCTGGTTCTTTGTGACATACTGCTTCCGTTACTGACCAGCAACAAAATATCTGCTATATTTTTTTCTTAAAATTTTCATGATATAGCTTGTACACATATAATTATTAACTTATTACTTGGTGCAGCTTATCGATCTATTTTATTTTGTTGTTGGCTCTTTATGCTTTCATAACTGAACAGCAACAATATATCTGTTGTTCTGTTTTTGAATCTCCCGTATAGCAGCATGTATTCATTTATTTGTAACTTATTACTTGATACAGCTTTTCGACCGATTTTATGATGTTGTAGGCTGTCTGGGAGTAATTGATCTATTTATTAATTAGCAGCAAAATTTTCATTAATTTGGAACTTCAGAATCAGTATCAAAACATAGATTGATTTTTATTAATTTTTGATGCTTTTTTTTTAAATTTTGATTTTTTTTATTTTGATTTTTTTTCATTTTTTTTGCATTATATGTCAGCAACTAATTAGCAACAAATTATCCCGTTTCATCCGCTACGGCGGCGTTGATTAAAAGTTTTTACTGCTGTCTTAATGTAAAGATAGCAGTAATTCAATTTACTCAAAACCGCTTGGAGCAACAAAATCGCGATTTTACTAACTAATTAGCAACAAATTAGCTACAAATTCCTGGATACAATTTTTATGTTTCTGCTGACTTTTCACTGCTATCTTTATAGAGCTGGAAGATTCTGAGAAAGAGCAGCGCAAGTATAAGCCGTACTTTGTATCTGACTACAACAGGAGGTACCCTGAGGACTCTGTCCTCGTTGATTTTGTTGTCTTTGTCGAATGAAATGATGAAAGAAGGCCAATCGGCACGCGGGACATGATGTCTCTGTCCACACATATGAAGAGGTTCAATAAAGGCATTAAATCTTTGCAATCTATGAATAAATACAAAATAGGCGTTCATTTTGAAAAGCCCTCTCTAGCGAATGCATTTTTAAATAATGTTACATTTCTTAATGAGTACATAATGAAGGCATCTATCCCAGCCGTAGGGAGAGAAATAACAGGAATCATAACTAATGTTCCCACTAATCTTTCTAATTCAAGAATGTTTGGTATGTTAACGACTTACAGGAAGATAATATGTGTTAAAAGGATAATGAGGAAACATACGAATGTCGCAGGACGCAGTTTGCTGCAGGCGACGAGCACCGTGGCCATTACGTTCTCTTCTAATGTTTTGCCGGACCACGTCGATCTTCATGGTTGGCGGTTCGTGGTAAATCAGTATATTCCACCAGTGAAGCAGTGCTACAACTGTCTGAGGTATGGCCACTTAGCAAAGTACTGTAAAAATTCTGTAAAATGCTCAATTTGTACTGAAAATCACAGCTATAAAGATTGCCAAGTCTCTTAAGACAAAGCGATATGCATACATTGCAAAGTAAACCATCTAAGCATTTCTGGAGAGCGTCCTGTTAGGACGCTCTCCAGAAATGCTCCAGAAACAATAGATAAAAGAAAATCAGACTAAATTACACAAAACCCCGTTTGTAGACCTTTTTAATAAAAACGAATTCCCCGA